GAATAGAATAGAATAGAATAGAATAGAACTAGGAATAGAATAGAGTAGAGTAGAGTAGAGTAGAACAGAACAGAACAGAACAGAACAGAACAGAATAGAATTCTTATATTGGCCAAATGTGATTGGACACACAAGGAATTTGTCTTTGGTGCAAATGCTCTCAGTGTACATAAAAGAAAAGAGACATCCGTCAAGAGTCCAGAATCTTAAGGTACAACACTAGTCATAGGGTACAATAAGCAATCAAATCAAATCATACTAGGATCCAGGTTTTATTTTTATTTTTTTTACATGTCGCCTTTTATCATTTTTATAAATAACTCAAGGCAGTGAACACACACACACACACACACACACACACACACACACAAAATGTTCCCTCATCCTCCTACTTTCCCCCGTTAACAACAACCCTGTGAGGTGTGTTGGGTTGAGAGAGAGGGATTGGCCCAGTTGAAGTTTACTTACTCTCTGAAATCTCATTTGGGTGTGACTGGGGCTGGTCATCCTCCCTCAGCTCGTTCTACCTCACAGGACTGTTGTGATTGTGGGGATAAAATGTAGAAGGATCACCCAAATGAGTAGAAGGTGAATTCGGGGAGAAAATGTAAAAGCGAAACAAACACAGATACAAGTATTCGTTTTATCTGTGTATTTTTGTCTCACCTTTTCTCTCTAGTTTTTTCCCCCCCTCAACAACAACAACCTTATAGGGTAGGATGGGCGACTGAATAGTATGGATGTTACTTCCTTTCCATCTGTGATTAATTTTAATAATTTTCATTGTGACATTAATCATTCTAATCGTTCTTTGAATTAAGATTGCATCCTCCTCAATTAAACAAACCTTTTCAGCCTCTTGTCTTAAAGGCAGAAATTCACTTTCCACAATGTTGTAGCGTTACAGTTCTCGACTTACAACCATTGATTCATTTTATCGACCCAAGTTCGAAGTTCCAACAGCACTGTAAAAAAAAAAAAAAAGACCGACAACTGGTCTTCGCACTTACAACCATCGCAGCATTCCCACAATCCTGGGGTCAAAATTTGGAGGCTTGGCAACTGGCATGTACTTATGACAGTTGATGTATCCCAGGGTCATGTGATCACCATTTGTGACCTTCCCAGCCGGCTTCCGACAAGGAAAGATTCATTTAGCGACCATGTGGTTTGCTTAACGACCGTGGGGGGGGGGAACCCCTCATAAAATCAGAATCGCCTCACTTAATAACTTGCCTAGCTTAGCAATGAAAATTCTGGCCCTGATTGTGGTCATAACTTGAGGGTCACCAGTCATAGAGAGAGCCTCACCTGTTGAGTTTCTCTTTGATTTTGGCAACACTTTATTGTTTTTTTTCATTTATACATAATACCATTACTAATTGAACAATACTGTGACAATATATATACATTTATACATCCTATCCAATCTTTCAATACCCACTGCTTCCATACCCTCATAACTATTATATACCATTATTTACATTTTCTATTCTTATGTCTATTGTCAATCCAGATATACCATGTTTCCCATATTGCATCGTATTTCATGTCAGCGTTCCCTTTTTGTTCCATAGTTAATTTATCCATTTCCACACACTTGAAGATTTTTTAAAATTCTTAATAGAATAGAATTAGAATAGAGTTGGAATGGAATGGAATGGAATGGAACGGAATGGAACGGAACAGAATAGAATAGAGTTGGAATGGAATGGAATAGAATAGAATAGAGTTGGAATGGAATGGAATAGAATGGAATGGAATGGAATAGAATAGAATAGAATAGAATAGAATAGAATAGAATAGAATAGAATAGAATAGAATTAGAACGGAACGGAACGGAACGGAACAGAATAGAATAGAATAGATACTGGAATGAAGAATAGAATAGAATAGAATAGAATAGAATAGAATAGAATAG